ACAACTAATAAAAATTTCAAAAATCAGGTCTTAAATATGATATCCAAAATTCAACTTTTAAAAAATAAAAGAATAATATGCTTAGTGAAGCACGCTCTATAATATGGTCTATAGAATACATTAGAATATTGAATTATTAATTATTATAATAAATGAAAAATTTGTTTAAACGTTAGTATATTAGTTTAAAACCCAATATTCTATATTGTATCCTATAGACTATAACAGAGTGTGGTTCATCAAGCATACTTTCCGACTATAAAAGTTTAACTGTGGATATTATATTAAAAATCTGATTTTTTGGATAACTTGTAAGTCATTATAATAAATAATAATAATAATTTAATATATGCAACTTTAATGGTAAATTATTAATAGCAAAAATATTTAAATTATTTTAAATATTACATTATACATTTATACATGCAAAATAAGTTGTAGACATTAAATTTAACACAGCATTCATTACAATTACATATATTTACTATACTTTATACTATGACTAAGAACACTCGACATTTACTATATTTTTAAATGATTTCTATAGTTTTTAAAAATAAATTCTTCACTTATTTTAGGTGATAATATAAGTTTATATACCAAAACCAGGTACCTATACCCTATGGGACATATATATATATACTTTTGATAACCGCAATCATGGTTATTATTATTAATTTTAAGTGTATTGTATACATTTATATGTTATAATACTTTTATATTTTAAATGAGTCATAAACACAGCAATAAACTTGCAGTAAGTCGAAAATCGAAATGCATTATTTATTTAAGTCATTATTGACCGTTCTGTATAATTTCAGGGGCGTAATTATATGGCTAAATAAATTACATTTAAGACTAAAATATATATAAATTTATAATTTAGTGGATTATTTTAGTCGATAGTCAAATATTAGAAAAAATATATTTAAAATTTATATCTACAGATTTATCAAAATGAAAACACTAATTTAAGGATTTAAACACTTAAAAATAAACACAGATATGCCCTATACATATTAGAATATTGATACCTAATACCCATGTAAAATAATTATCGAATAATTGAGTTTTATTATGTTTATATTGGGGTGTGGCAGACGACAGTATGACGCCAATATACCATAACTCGAGCTTAAAAAAATAAAATAAATAATATTATTATAGTAGGTACATACATTTCAATACTGGTCACTATTATCGAATATAATATATATTAGGTAAATGGATATATTTTTATACAGTTAAACAGGCATAAAAAATAATGTTCAAAAGTTATACGAAAGATTTTATTCTTTCGAACACGCTACTTGCTCAATTTTGTATAGTCTCTACAATATAATAAATTGGAAGTTGAAACGACCATATTATATGAATATAAGATTTATATATAAAAATAATGTTTTAAACGTGAGCTAATCTTGTCCAATAATCAGATTGGAGTATTGAACTCATAAATTAAATTCAATAATAATAAAACTTCAGGTTTGTATTAAAATATAGCTGTTTTCGTAATCAATTCAAACAATTATGAACTTTTTAGTCTGAGTATAATAGTAGCCATATCAATTAATTTCATAAAATCTAATAACAATGTTGCTCTCTGTCGGCCAAGATTATCATATCATTATAGTATATTATGTAATATTTTAATATTATTATTATTTTATATATTTGGGATACCATTGATTTTAAATACTATTATATTTATAACTATTTTATCCATAGCAATACTTAAGGCCCGAATTTATGTGCAATAAAAATCTATTAAATATGCAAAATTATATTTTTTACAAATTCATAAACTTTATGATTATGAGTGAAAATATTAAATTATCTAAATATATAAATAAAAAGGCTTATTTAAAGTATTATACTATATTTTATAATATATTATTAAGTGACATGTGCCAGTATGAAGTAATTAAAATCAATTTGAAATAAATTTTCAAACTGAAAACTTCTATAATCATCTCGAGATATGCTTTTGTATTTGAAAAAAATTCTTTCCATATCACAAGATACAATTGATACATATTTAAAACTAAATTTATCTTCAACTGCGCCCTCTCTTCGTCTTCGTTAATTAAATTTTTTAAGTAAAACATACACGATAAATGTATACAGACTATACTAAGACTAAATTCTGTGTGCCAATACGTATTGTATAGTATCTATACATATACTATTTTTGAGTACCTATTATCTAATAATGTAAACATGAGTACTGTGTAGGTATTTATACACTTATCACTAAAAAATCCAATATTTTACGTCATTCGTCAATAATTTATCGACATAAATTATAATGAGTTATTTTATATTTACAATCAACCTTAGGTATTTTTAAAAATGTAAAAATGACTCTATTTTAACGAGTAAAGATAGAATTATTATAATAGTAAAATATGCAACATGTATGCAATTAATATGCATTTTCATTCGAATACGCAAAAATATGCAAAAAAAAAAACGATAGAATTTACACATTACGAAACGTCAAAATTTATAATTAAAATTATACTCAGTGAGTTGTAAGAGAATATGTCTACGCAAGTCAAAAGCCAAACTAGTTATTTAATCAGATTTAGATGAATCGTTATAAAATTGTTATATAAAAATAGAAAAAACACACAGTATGGCTTAACTTAATAGAAATACTTACTTTGCAGCTGAAGTATAGATGACAAAATATGTTAAAAGTATTAAATCTTTTATGATAATATAATTATTGCCACGACAAGAAAAATTAGCATTTTTAAATATGTGGGACTTACAATGTATATCAGTGCATACATACAGATACAATGTATTTTACCACTATTAACTACTGTATAAGACATGATACGATACAATACGAAATGTCGAAATATATATTCATTATGTATGTAGCATAACAGTAAACTCTTAAATACATTATTAAAAAATAATAAACTATTCCAAAAGCTTAAAAATAGTAATTTCATACTGCAGACTATGGTGTCACATTTTACGGATTATGATTTTACAGTGGTAACGTGAACTACAAATTAGATAATTTTGCCAGTGAGAAAAGACAATTTTAGTAACATCATTAGCATATTTTATTTCCTCAAAATTATGGTAACTTTTTTCCTCCCCCTTCCCACACTTACACCATGCAGCATGACATTTATTATATTTTATTAAAAATTATTATTATAATTCAATAAAACATAATTTTTCATAATTATACAAATACTGCTTTAATTTAAATTTTAAGTATTATTAACAAATAAGTTAAAACAATACATATTCCAATGTTAAAACTAGTGTTTTTGGACAAAATTACCTTGGAAATTATTACTTTGATTTTGAAAAAATTAAGTTTCATTTATTTTCAATTTTTTTTTTTTTTTTAAATTATTGTGATGTTATGGGAAAATTGATTATTTAAATTCTGATCGCCGTAATATTGGTTTTATAACGATGTTATTATGTATCGGTATTTAATTTTTGGAACGGTAAAAATATACTTTAATCTTCAACTTTGAAATTAGTTTTTTTAGAAATAGAATTATTCATTGTTCATGATAATATTATATTTATATTAGAATTTTTTTAGATATGACAATTTTTAAAATATTCTACTATTTGTATGCTTTTCATAGTATAGATATTTAAAATATTCAAAACAATTAAATATTGTTTGTTAGTAAAAATGTTTAAATGTAATACAAGATTTAAAAAAAAAAATCCTCAGATGAGGAAATAAATAATAGCTAGTATATTTTTATTGCAGAGTCGACGGAAATTTCTAACTCAACCAAAAATTTAATTATTTAAATTATAAGTGTATCACTTAAAAAATAAGTACATTGGTCATAATTTTTTTTGTTTCATTGTCGTAAAAACATACCTATTTTTTTTGAAATCATCAAAAAATAGTTTTTGATGTTATTTTTTTAGTTATTTTGGTATAATAATATTATATACAAGGTATACTTACTCAAATTAACTCATATGCATGTATAATATGTTTTAAGTATATTTATAAATAATATTATGTAGATAATAAATATTTTACCTTAGTAGACAAGTACGTGACCATACATTCATACCGTTGTTTATAATATTTTATGTCGTTGTAATATTACATAGGTAATAGACGTTCGATTATTACTAAAACAACAATAGATAAGTGCTAGTGGCATTTTTTTGTTAAATAGTTTTCAAAAAATTAATCGTATAAAACAATCATAAATCATAATAATGCGTCTTTTCCCTGCGTCCCAGCAGAGTAACATTTTCAGTGCACGTGCATTTATCGTCGCTATGTAGAACCTAGCTAGGTCTTCCAACTAAGGATATTGAGAAAAAGGACAAGAGATGTCTTGGCAAATAAATTTCCTGTGTTCATAGATTATAGGTCATAGGTTACATAATATCATTATTATAAGCATTTTTTTTTTATTATGAATTGCTACCGTTTTATAATGTCGCTACTCGCGGCATTTGTTTAAACTTTAAACGATTAAGACCAAAATAACATATTTATACCAAGTTATTAGTACCCGGCTTATTAACTAGCATTTATATAATATTGATGCAGAATAATATTATTTCAAAACTAAATGTCAAAACCATAAACAATTAAATTTTTAAAATTTGAAAATTTAATACCTACAAAGTTCCTCATAAGTTTTTCACCCATGATGAAAAAAATTTTCAACGACTTATTTTTTCTAATAATATCTATTTTTATGTACATCCAAATTTTATCCTTCAATGAAATAAAATAACATAAATCATAATGATATCTGGGAGTTCCATTCAGTAGCATAAATTCATAATCATTGTAAGTAAAATCATAAAATTCCAACCTCCGACCTCTAGACTATTAATTATTTATAAATTACCAATCGTGTCAATTTAATATATTTACAACATGCGATAATATTTCATGATTGCAATCGCGTTTTCTATCAGAGTCCAACACGCCAGTGTAAAAATCGGCGTCATACTTGCTTCGGCAGTACATATTATATACTAAAATTAGTAAAATTGGAACGACACAGAGTTGATTAGCATGGCCCTTGCGCAATGATGACACAAAAAAATAAAAATAGAAAATTCATACATATTCTTTATAACTGTACATATAGAGATACCTAATTCATAATTACTTGCTGATTCGATGTATACTGCAGTTAGAACCGAGTACGTAATGCATAATATATATATAGGTACATATTTAAAAGCAGTGTTTTCAACAAGGATTTGAAATAATGCACGCAATATAAACGAATGCATTAATTGTACATAAATCATGCTCTGTTACGGGAAATGTCTACATATAAATTGCTTACATCATTTTAATCAACAGTTTAATTTAAGCATAGATGTACATTGCATTAATACGCGGCGTTTGTTAAAAATTCATAAGCAATAAACTCATGACCCATACAAAGATGTTCACTTATAAAGACTTATGCTATATATCAATTCATTATTCTGTACAAGAATATACTTACCTAGTTCGATTTAAAATTCAAAATATTAATTAGAAAAATAGTATTACGGTTAATGAATTTATAATCAACACTTAAGTACTAAGTAGATACTTTGCTGTTTTATGTCTATGAATCGCAATGACATTCGTAAAGGTTAAACAGGCAATTAACACCCGTGGGACTTTGTTAACTGTAATAGTGATTCAATATCATGCACAATAAAGTATAAAATAATCATATGGTTTTTAAAATATTTCTATGATAAAAAAAGCATATTGATGGGATGGAGTATGTTAAATTAGAATATAATAAGGTAAAAATAAACCAAAACATATAGATATACCAAAATATAGATGTACTTAAATGCTACTAGCCATAGAATTTTTATTTTTCCTTACTGGAATTTTATTTTCAGGCACGTTTGTAGGTATTAGGTATATATACTTATATAGTTGTATACCGTTATGTATCACTATGACATCATATAATAAGCTAAATTTATCCTTTAATTCAATTAGCTTCTACTCAGAGACCTAAAAACATTGTTCTAAATGCGCCCAAACTTTAATTTTGTATTAATTATTGGGAACCCACAAAATACTAATCAAGTTATTTCAAGTACTGCATTATATAAATGTTATACTGTCTAGTTAATCAAATTAAAATGAAGTTATGCACTATAGGTTAATAATTTGATCATAAACTTTTAATAATAACTTCTAGGTACCTAGTTTTATTGTTTTATTTATGATTAAATATAATGTGATACCATAGCTATAAAAATTGATCTGTAATAATATTTGTTATTAAACGTTATTTTCAAATTTTGAGTACAAAAACAACTTTTAAAGATTGATAACTAAAAATAAATTCATGTTACTTATCTGTTTAAAGTTATTATACTACGTAATATAAAATACGAATGAATAGAATGGATTGAATTAAATTATTATTTATCAGTGAAAAAATATTTTTCACGTTGACGTTGTAATAGTTCACTTAGTGATAAAGGACTGTGATTTGTATTTAAACAAAAATTATAAAATAATTTAATATGTATTGAAATTTACTATTAGTAACTTATTAAATAGATACCTAACCTATCTAGCTATTCTATACATTACTAACACATTTATTTAAATGTTAATAAATCGATAAATTTAATTTTCCGTATTCTGCAAACCGTTAAAACGTTACTGTTATGTGACATTTTAAATTAATTCAAAAATGGCATATTTATTTTTCTATGCATTATAATAAATAAGTAGATAATAAAATTAAAACTGTAGGTTTATTATATATTAGCCGTTCCTCCTGTATTTATGAACATTGTTGGTATAAACCATTGGACATTAATAATACTATAGTCGCTTTTTATACATATTGTTAGAGATGAAATATAAAATTTAATGTTACATGATTTTTTATACAGGGCGTATACCTATATGTACAACTGAACGAGTGTTGCAAGCCTTGCAAAGTATTTTACATAATTTCTTAGTACAATACGCGTATTATTTTAACACTGTAAAATCGTATTATAATATTTTATTATTTTATATATTATATATCAGGGGTCTCCAACCTACGGCCCGCGGGCCGGATCCGGCCCACCAAGCTAATTGATGTTTTGAAAATAATATATTAATTTTCATTGTTTTTAATTTATTTTTTATTAAATTGATTAATAAATTAAAAAATTATATAAATAAACATACATTTTTTTAAATAAATCTCATCTATTCTTATTTATTTCTCAATTTCATAACCTATCAGATATTCCTAGAATCCTAGATAGACAACATTTATTTTTTTTTTTTAGACAATACATTTCTAAAAATGTTGGCCCGCGATGCCACAGCGTATATCAAATTTGGCCCGCCGTAAAAAAAGGTTGGAGACCCCTGTTATATACTATGGAAAAGTTGAACTCGATTTTGAAAAAAAAAATAACTTCTTTACTGGCTTATTATTGAATAGTTGCGATCTGTGATAATTATACAACACATGATGAACATAATAATAAATCGAATAAAAAAAAAAACCCGCATTATTATACGCATTGAAGACTGAATACATTTGAATAAGTATATTTCAATATTTGATTAATAAATTGCTTATATTGTAATAACACAAATAACTAATAGGCACATTGCACATACTATTATTAAACTATATAAAAAATTAAGACTATAATAATCGTGAACTGAAATCGGTATTCGTTTGCGGAGAGTGGGGAGGGTTGCGACTTAAATATTAAATACAATTCTATACGATGCAGGCACCCTCACATATACTAATATATTAAGTCCTGGCTACCGACCATCACCACTTAAAGTATAAATTAAATGCAAGCTATTACTGATTATGTGTACATTATTTTTTACTGGATAAACATAAGCATTATGTACATTCATTTAGGATGCAGTAAGTAGATGTGAACTGAAGGTTTTATTTACTTATTTAGGTACAGCTATTATAAGATAGGTATATATAATATGCTAACAATAGATACGTGATTAAAGCTTTTATTATTGAAAGGTACCTTGTATATCTATATAATTTGGTATGTATTATTATGAACAAGTGTATCTATAAATCTATATAATATTATATTGAGTATTTTTGATGTTTTAATGAATGATGGCATTGTGTTGTCATTCATGTAAAAGATACTATTTAAAATAATTACTGAAGTGTAGATATTGTGGATACAAATAATTTAAAAAAGTATTTATGAATACTTTCAAATACTTACTACTTGTTAGCAAAAAAAAATTATTTTCAATTAATGCAGATGGTACCTAACTTTGCAGGTAACCAGGATTTAATTAAAATTTTTTTTTGAGGGGGGTGAAGATGGGGTCTTAATAACTTTGAATACAATTTTTATTTTTATTTGATTACATAATTAATATATAAAACCCTTTATTTTTAATTTTAAAAATTTCGGTGGAGGGGGGGGGGGGTTCAAATTCTGTAGATCCTCCTGGATACGCGCCTGTTAAAATAAAAGTATTAAAAATATTTTGTTCAATTACTTTTTTTAAAAGTATTTAAAATATCATGCATTTGAGTAGATACCAGTATACATATATCACAGTGGCAGCTTACTAAAATAAATAGGAACAATTTTGGAAATTCTGCCCGCCAAACAAAAATCCTAAATCCACCACAATATAAAATTGTATTCGTGAATGTACAATTATATCATGTATTGATTATAAATATTTAGTATTTAATAAACATATCAAAAAAGATAAGCTGTAGTGGTTACCGCTCAATTGTGCATTTTAGGTGTCGAATGGGTAACCATTATCGATGTGTTAAATTTGAATTCAATGATATATCATTGTATGGGAATGAAGAACAATAATTTTGAACGGAAATGGTCCGTCAGCCAATATCATCAAGTTTTATTTTATTGGTATATTTGATAAGAGGTAGCCATTAAGGTCGTTTGTTTTACGTTTAGTATTATGGAAGATTGATATAATTTTGTCCAAATATATTGCATTTTTTTATATTATTAGACATTAGTATTTAAATATTATAATTTATAAGAATATAAATTTAAACTATATTATATGCAACCACCAGGTTGACCACACATTCAGTATTGATATTTTTAACTACCTACAAAATAATTTGTATTCATTTATACATTTTTTATCGACATTTATAAAAAAAAAATTAATAAAAAAAATTTGAAAATTATTTTGACCAATAATAATAGCTCGAAAAAAGTAAAATTATTTTGAAAATCGTATCATTCATAGAAAATGATTATATTAATAGGTACTTTGCAAGGTTAGGTTAACTGTTTACTTTTGACTTGTTAGTTACTTGTTTTTGTTCTTTTTCCTGATTATAAAAATGTTATTTTATAATTTTAAAAATATTTGATCTTGACTTTTTTAAAGTAGGTACGAACTAGTCGAATTAGATTTAATTTATAATCAAAATTCACCATTAAAGTTACAAATCGAAGTGTAGGCACACACACATAAAAAATACAAATTATTTTAAAATCAATACATTCATCGCTTCGCTCAGAATCTAAAATATCAGTAACACAATTATTTTGAAGTTTGAGTTGAAATAAGAGACTTATTGAGTGTATGGTGTAGGTACCCGGACCCAATAATTGACCCTTAATTCGGATTTGATTATTTCTTTTAGAACTACAAAATTAAAATTAAAAATAATTATAATATTTATATATTATCATCATTTTATTCAATTTAATTAGAGAATATATAATTTTAATAAATTGTAATGCCCAGAACCATATTATCGTGTTTGAGCAATGAATTTCCTAACGACCTATATATTATTATCATAGATAATACATAATGTATTATCTATAAATAATGAATTAATTATAATAATAATAATTTATCATAATGTATTATTATTATGTATTATCTATGATTATTATGCAGGTACTACATGTGAGCAGAAATATGTTGTGGACATTTATTGATAAAGTAACCTATCTACTGTATTGTAGGTAGATAAGTTATTTATTATTTATTTTTATTAAATACTAATTAATTTGATAAATGCCGTTATAGATTAGTAATTACATAATAATATATTAATTGAAGATTGACGCAAGAAAA